ACCCAATGTCGGTATACACTTTTTTACACATTGACCAATTAAATCAACCAATCAGTCTTTTTCTCTATAACGACATCTAGATTGAGATTTAGAGAAAAAATACACTTGCAAAAGCTTATGACAGTAAATGGTGAAATATTAACTTAAACTGAAGGAATTTCTATACATCAACGCCAAGGGGTGAGCTTACAATGTATATGTATCTTTACAGTAGATTTAAAATCATTACTGCACTCTCGATATGGGGATGAAAATCTGTTATTTTCAGTACTAAGTAACGCCCCTTATCCAAACTTTTTTCTATGTGCACCAGAAAGATCAATAATTTACGACTCGTTTTTGTAGTTGTCATTTTATTTATTCTGCTTGCATATCTTGGCCAATGCAGGTTCTTATCCTCTTTCCTCTGCCAGGTTGCAGGTCAAAGTAGATGTCGTAGCAATTTGATAAAAACATTTATAGGATAATTATATAAACATGCCAAAATTCAAATTACATCACATAAGAACACCTCGTAAATTGTTCCCTTTTGTACCAATAAAGGCCTTTAACAGTGCAACATGCACAGGAAGAATTCCATAGCGAGAGTTTCATCTCACTTGGCCAAATTCTCTTGAGGCGAAAAGGTTCCTTACTTTCTTGCATTGCGCGATTTGATAAACAACGGAGAGTTAATACTCGTTTAAAAGTATTGATTGAAATAATGGAACCGTGTCGGATAACATACATGTACACCCATTTAACTGCATATCAATTGGCCGTGATAGGTGATCGGTCAATCAATCAATCAATCAGATTGCCCATCTAGATTCCCATCACGAATGTAAAGATTTGATATGTCGTGTAATACCGATATCAGATATAATGGACTGCTTGATATAGGCCAAATCTGAAATGAAATTAATAAAAGTGTAATTGACAAGCAGCACTTATATGCTGCTTGAAGTGACATAATTAATCGTAAATTGTTGTGGTCTGCTGAGGAGATATTTCTTTAGGAGATATTTCTTTATTTCATAGTTTGTTCACAGATTTAAAAAGGTTTAACGCCAAGTTTTAATGGAGAGAAAAATACTCATTTATGGAGTGAAATGAAGAAAGTTGTCATTATTGAAATCAAGGTCTAATAAATTCCTACCCTCTGTGGACTTCGGTGTGATCAGGCAATGGACCCCTAGGCTATCAATTCTCTTGCCACAATTTTACATTAATGTATTGTGTTCTAAATCCCATGTCCCTGAGGACTAATATAAATTGAACAAATCTATGTTGGTGTGGCACGCGCATTTCGTGTAAAGTTGATCCTTTTGCGTTTGACATTTCTTTAATTGTCGGGCAAGTGCACGACAATTGTAGATTTAATCTCTAAGCTAGGAGAGAAATACAGAGAACTGCATTTAATGGTCTGTGTCAACCTTTTCTGTATGATGTCATTAGCATCTATGGTCACCTAGGGAGAGCAAACAACCTATTACGTGCATTAGGAAGCCCTGGACACATTGAATCGAGAACGGTCATTTTCATTAGTTTTGTGTCATTTTACAGGTAAACTTGCTGCTTGTTTCTTGATTTCTACAGCGCAAATTCTAAAACACATTCTACGTAGTGCGTTATGGGCGACACAATGGCTTTAAATGTTTATATTGCATTTGGTTTTAGAGAGTTGGATTTTTTTTTCGATTTTGCAGTTTTTAGGGGATCTTGAAAATGTGTTCACACTCCAGAACTAAGGTTTTATTGATCCGATTCATCTTTAACCACCTTTTTTCGAGCGGCGCCTTCCTTTTCGTCGAGTGTTTGAATCTCCTTTAACTGTGCAATTAATGATCTTATTTTCTACCATATCTCATTCTAATGGATGATAATCACGGGCTAGACTAGTGTCGCAAAACAGATAAGATAAAGAAAACCCGGTTCCAGTGAATTATTTGGGCATTGAATTAATCAGAACCATAATAGATCTTGATCAATTTCTCATAAAAACAGCAAACTTATTCCCTCCATCTTTCCGCCATTAGGCTCCTTTGGGAATTTGTGAAGTGTTACACATTGAACGATACATACGAATTGTATTGAAATTGGATGAGATTGAACCAAAGGCTTTTAGAGAATACATCATAAGGTCTGCTGTATTCTAATAAGTGATCATTGCTCGACCAATCAATCTGTTGCCAATGCAGGGAAAATAAAGTAAAATGCATGTATTCAGAAGCCATTAACGCGTTGACAAAAGAGACCTCATTGAGAGAACGAATAGATATGCCTGTTATTGTAAAAAGACAAACAATTCTCACGTTAATTTGGCAATTTCTAACTCTGCACACCTTGTAGTTGATTTTTTAACACAGATATCAATGTTTTATCCAAGTATCGAATATTGTTTTAACTAATATAAACGCACATGCTTGTTTAATAAACATTTAAACACTTTCATTTAGGCTTTACTATCTTTAATTCACACTGTATCACACTCTTTGTCTCTGAAGAATATCTCATTGTCTTTTTACAATATTTGATACTTAGCAAATATGGTGGAATGCATTTGCAAGGTTAAGATTTCAATTTTTGGGAATTAGCCGCGCTAAGACATAAATCTTATGCAAATAATTCCTCAGAATTTAATTCGTATGACTTTCAGAAAGACCATACTTAATACTCGAGACGATAGACGCTTAAAGAAGAATGGAATTATTTGTCATGCAGGATAATTCCATACGAAAGTATTAAAAGTCCGCCAGCATAAGGATAACTTCATGGGGAGCGTAATCAATAATATTTATTGAATCGATTGTAAAACGGCAAAGTTTCTGCAAAGGCCATCTTTTCCTTAAATTATTCAAATTATTGAATTTTTGCGCCAGTCATAACAAAATGGCTTTTATCAAAAACACACTTAGAGACATACCATTATATCATTCCATTATATTTTATTGCCTGGTTAACTTCATCTGTCTGAAGTCTTAGAGGAAGCCATGCAATGTACATGTCTATCAAAATGCATTTTGCAAAGATTTACTACTTTCTCCCAAGAAGCAACTTCATCGTAAGTCATTCTCAGGTTTCTTTTAATGGCATATGGTTACGACTAATTATCTAGAGATTTCTTTTCGAAACACATCATTTTCCACACTGTTGTTGATGGATGATACCGTCGTCCCGACAACCTCAAGGGAACGCGTGATGGAGAAGACGAACTTCAAATAAACTTTTGAAGCGGCTCAGTACTGAACCAAGAGAAAAAAAACATACAGTGTAACTCAATTAATACACGATTAAAAGACGTGATCAGTACATTTATTTAGGCGTCACATTCCATCATAACGGACAGATATATGCATATACGCGTATCTTGAAAGAGCAAAACGTCGTGTTAAGGAGGTTTGTGTTTTTTTTGTTGGCACTTTCTTTTCGTTGAAGAGACAGGTCCTGGGTGGTGCTCTTTTGACTAGAATAGTTTATGGACTTCAGAACTTCAGACACAGAGATCAACAGCTAATAAACTTTTGAAGCGGCTCAGTAATAAACCAAGAGAAAAAAATGTACAGTGTAACTCAGTTGGACGAGCCCTGTCATACACGATTAAAAAAAGTAATCGGTGGACTTATTTAGGCGTCACGTTCCATCATAACGGAGAGATATACGCATATGTACGCATCTTGAAAGAGCAAAACGTCAGGTGTTAAGGAGGTGTGTGTGTGTGTGTATCTGTGTGTGTGTGTGTGTGTTTGCACTTTCTTTTCGTTGGAGAGAAAGGTCCTAGGTGGTGCTCTTTTAACTAGAATAGTTTATGGACTTCTGAACTTCAGACACAGAGACCACCGACAGCAATGTGGCGGCGACAAAACTGACTTCATCTAGGACACAGTATCACATGTGTAAGGGTGATATTTACACTTAGTCTTACGGTGATTTGATATTGAAATTCAGTTATTCCGAATTTCTATTTAAAAGATTAAATAATAGCTCTGTCATACTTCTCTGTCCTTCTCTTCTTTTTTGTATAATAATAATAATAATAATAATAATAATAATAATAATAATTGAATGAATGAATGAATAAAGCCGATATATTGAAAAATAGTATTACCCTTCCATGGCATTTATCTGTTTTGCAGCACACTTAAATTACAGCTGTTTTGTAAAGCAGCCCAGTGAGTATTTGGAAAATACTTCTAAACGTTAGTTGATCTGGATCCAGAGTCTCAGCAAGCTGAAGAGCTACAAAGGGAAAGATAACTTTCAACTTTCCTCTTCAAGAATATAAATCGATTCTCTTTACTGAAATGTGGAGCAGCAACTGATACCAAGAGGCTTGGAATCACTTTGTATAAAGAACTTTTAAAATCAATTATTGATTGAAACTTTTTTACCTCTTGGGGTGAATGTTTGTGATTCACTCGTTCATCATCATTAACGTCGAGATCCTCACATTAGACCCTGTTTTTTTTTTTAATTTCTTCGCGGGTCATGTGTTAAAGACACAGCCGTCGTACAATTAATACAACGAGGCACGGGACCAGTCTCTAATTATCGTGTTTTTATGATCTGAAATCAAATCTATCACGGAATTAACAGGATTACCCATCGGTCTGTTTACTCTGTATAGTAATTACCTATTGTACTCGTACCTGATGTGCATAAAGTAAAGGACACAAAGGAATTGAATACACGATATTAAAGAGCACTTTTATATTGTATTGATTATAACATACAAGGAACCGTCTTACTCTACTGTCTAGCAAATACATATATCTATTTTCAGTTAGACAGGGTAGTTTCACTTTTTACGGATTCGTTATGGTTATTTTTTATCATCTCGATGATGCAGATTGTTTTCTGTGTTGTTTTCTTCATGTTTGTGTCACTTACTATCTCCATTTTGTAACTAACACTTGCATTTTAATATATGACAGTGACCTAGTTATTTAGGTGCACACCACCGTTTTATTGCTAGACTTACTGGTAACTAAGAGCCTATTCCCATTTTATTTCTATTTTAGGTACATTGCCATAGTTCATCCCCTAAAAGCCAATATACTGTGCAACCGACGTAACACCTTGATTGGAATCGCCTGTATTTGGCCATTGTCAGCTGCATTCGCAATTCCCATTCCCATTTTTAACGTCATTGGCACCCCTCCTAACGCAACTGATGCGAAATGTGCTACAAGGTTCCCGGGCAATCATGGCAGCATTTTTTCTGCCTGGAAGTATGCGGAAATGACATTGTGGTACATTGTGCCGATGGTGATTCTTATTGTGCTGTACACTATAGTAGGGCATAGGCTTTTTGCTGGGGCGGAGGAACTTCATGGCGGCCGAAAAGACAAAGGGGAGTCGGATGCACTGAAAGCAAGACGAGGGGTCATTAAGATGCTGGTTGCTAGCGTAGTGCTCTACTTAATCAGTTATTCTCCTATACAGGGGATGTTAATTTATACTACATTTCGACCGTTTCCCCTTCACAAGAGGTGGATGTGGCACGCCTTCGTGATCAGCCTGGTCTACGTCAACTCAGCTGCGAATCCCATCCTCTACTCTATCTTCAGTCAAAATTTTCGTCGCCGATTCCAGCGCATGGTTTGTTTCTGCAGCACGAAGTACAGAGCGGCGCGCTCTCTCAGCACTGCGGGGTCGTCCTGTTCTCAGACCGTTGGCCAATGTCCTTCAAACGCAACCAAGTACAGCCTGGTGCATTTGAACAGGGGTCATTCCGAAGCTTAGATGCGGCGAAGACACCGAGTATGGGCGTTTTACACGCAGTGTTGCCAATTATGAAAAAAGAAGAGCTGACATCTTATTCACCCTACAGCCCGTTTTAAAAGCGATGTAGTCCTATCTCCACATTATTAAAGATTGAAACGCGTCTGGGCATAAGTGCTTTTCTCTTTTCATTTACTGCTTACAGTGGCATTTGTCATCGTAACATAATGAGATTAATAGGTATACAATCATGACATCTTTTACATAACCAGTGAACTACTCCACAGTCCCCCTCCCCCGGGAAATCTTGTTGTATTTCATTAACCCATCCGTAATCTATCCCTTCCAATATACACTCAAAGGCGTAAGATCACTCCTTTTTTTACTCCTTCCTACAATTTTTTGTTTTGAAGATTTTAAAAAGCTTTATGTGAAGGAAAAAAATTACCGGGTGAAAAAAATTGTCCTTACGACTACCTAAAGGGACTAAAGGTAGTAAAACAGAAACAATTGATTTTAATGTACTTAGCATGCTGCTGCATCCATGTGACACAGAAACCCTTACTATATTTGATTATGTTACTTATTATGGTCACATACCTTACTACTGTAACCGTGATTTTTTCTTCCGATGCAAACGACATTTTAACTTGGGTAACGACTTCATTACTTTTAAAAATGCAATATCATCAGAGCCATAACATATAGTAATAAATTCGTAGTTTGCAAGAAAGAAAAATATCCAAAAAGAACAAAAAGTTGATATTTTCAAAATTGTCCAATTTCATGTCGCCAGAATTATTACTTTTTTGACAGCTTTCAGGGAATTTTTTTGACTCATTACAACAGGCAGATTTAAAGGTGAAAAGGAATTTAAGATGGCACATTCCGCTCGGACCGCTCCAATGACACATTAATTTTTCAACTTTAATTAGTAAACGTAAAAAAGTGGAAGATTGGTCGGTGTGTATATCAAAATCAGTCTGTAAAAATATATTTGATGTCTATTTTATATATACATATTTTATTTTTATGTAAAATAGACTGAATGGTGCGTGCACATTTATGTGAACAATTGTTAATTTATATATTGTTGTGTTCTACGTGTAAAAGGGGTGGTTTCAGTTGAAGATACCCAACTTTATCTACGATGTTAATTAAATTAAGGAGTCAATCTAAATGTTTTGATTTAATTTCACAATTAAGGTTAAGCAGTGGGCGATAAAACATGTTGATATGACTGCATTCTATACATGTATGGTTATAGATTTCATCTTCGGGTGACATGCAACAATCTTACAATCGCACTAGTCGGCCCACCTTCAATTTGAAATGACTCATAGTTTGCACTGTGCTTTTTTTATCAATTAACGAATAGTTAATGTTTTACAGTGATTTAGTCTGTAAGTCACATAATTATTATGTCCTTTTCAATGATAACCGGGTTCGGTGTAACTTGCTCTGAAAAGTTGTGCTTGGATTATCTTTCAACGTAATCAAACGCCAAAATTAGAAACGAAACGCTGGATTTAGAAAGCTGCCTCCCACTCTCTTTATATTTCCTCTGAATAAGAAAAAACTATTAAAGCAACAGTTAAATGACTTAACAATATCAAAAAATTAAGACACGATGGCAGAGGCGTAGGTTTATTCAACGCCAGAATTGAGTATCTTAAACCTTATATCTAATAGAGTGTGATTCCTAATCCAATTAATTAATGGCCAGGATTTGTACATTTGCTTTAACAGTTATATATTATTGAGTGGACTGGCGACATCTGTAAATTGCTTTTCCCGTCAGAACAAATGACATATGGGAAATAAACCTGGCACTTGCTTATCCCACTGAAACCAAGTGGGACGTTCCTAGATGGATGCTTCATCCTATTTAGTGGTTTAGCTATAAAGGGAATGGGTGAAACTGGAAATGTTTGAATTATAAAATGAACTGTGCACTTAATGTTTACGTACAGCCGAGTGATATTTCGACATTTAATGTGATCAGCGTCACTTGTTGCTTTTATTACATGGTAAAATTAACTGTGAAAACGGAAAAAAACTAAAAAAAATCAATGCCAACACCATTGGGATGATGAAGCAATTTATTAACTTTGAAAGAAAGATTATTCTTTTATTATGTATTTGTATTGGTAGCATATTAGGCACAAAGTTTTCTAGTGGAGAACGATTAGTATATATACCATAAATGGTGCACGCAGCAAGGAGAAGGGCGGATGTACGGCAATGACAGATGTTAATGTAAGGCAGTGTCAGTGAACGGCGTCGTGTTATCACATTATCAATCTGCTATCAAAATGGTATTATACAGAATTAGTATATTTAATGGATTTGTACAGGTTAATAATTCTCCAAAGTTGGCTTGCACTTTCGCAAATGAACGGCCTTTCTGTGTACAATTCGATTTGTCTCTGTAAACTGATGCCAGATTAAACTGATGCGCAGTTTGGCCCTAAAGGTGATATTTAGTGGTAATATATATATATGTAAGTAAATCGACCTATCGTTAATCATCAGCGAAATTGCCATTTCCTCACTTTTTTATCCTCGCACCTCCTGGGTCGAGTGTCTGTGATGCCCAAAGGCTTCGCGTTTCAAGGGTCTCCAGCAATCTCACATAGAAGGTGTTAGTGAGATCCCTACAAATTTCCACTAAGAAATATATATATATATATTCGCTATAGTTACTGCAGTATGTTTAAGTAGACCTCGACATTTGTACCATTGATCATCATCATTGTGCGTGACAATGTTGCAACACGTATCTTCTGTTCAACCACGGTTATTAAATGCCTGTTTATTGTGGGTTTAATAAAACAAGCAGCAATGTTTCTTTTATTGAAAATAACATCAGTATCCACTTCCTTTTTATTATTTCATTATTTAAAGTGCGATGTATACCTGGATAGATTGTATGTTGTCTTACAACTACCGTATTTATGCTATTTGACAAAAAGTTGGATGCCTGAATGTTCGAAGACATACCAAAGCTTGCAGTTTTAAGTTTTATTTCGCTAATTTAGTATAAACTTGATATTTGTTACGTAATTTATGACTTATATTTTTGAAATAAATACATTGCTATTGTCTTCAATTTTTTCTCACGTCTCATTCCTATAATAATGTTGAGTACGTTAGATTAAGACTTTAATTACTAGAAACCGTACTCTCAACAACTGAATGGCCAATCGAAAAGGATAGGATATTTTTTCTTTTTTAAAAAATTTACATGCACCAGGCTCTCAGATATAGAAGCTATGGGAGAGGTTTTCTTGTACATTGGGTACACACGTGTCAATCGGAATACTCAAATACACACTCCTATCATTTGAATCTAAATTGCTTATAGATCGAATGGTAACTTTATGCGACCTTTTTGAATTTTTAATTGCAATATAATATTAAGAAAAGTTACGTATCATAAACTGTTAAACATGTCATTAAAGATACATCAAAGTATACATACAAGTCAACACGTAGGGTCGACTCCCTTATTAAAAATATCAATGAATTTTTACAGATTGAATTCTTTTTTCTACTTTATTCCTTTTCCTGATTTACTATAGTAACATTATCTTAAATTGTTCTTCAACTTCCTGTCGGTATTAGTTATCTGTGATTGCTTCTTAGGCTATAAATTTGGTCTTTAGCAACAAAAATTGATAAGTTACTTAACGAGCGCAATTGACCCTAATTTTGAGGAAATTGTAATATTTATCGCTCCTTTTTTTTAAAAAAAGGATTTGCATCGTATACTGGCTTAGTAAGAGGGGGAAATTTAAAAATTACTGCAGAAAATATAAATGCTGTTGTTGCTCTTAAATCGCCCATAGTGTGGATTCGACATTAATTCCCTATATAGTAAAATTGGAAGAAAAATCAACTGACGCAGAAAACGTTGTTTTTATGTTTGTTAAAAACATCGTATGCTTAAAAAAAACAACAATCGTGAATTTAAATTTTGCCTTCAAATCCTGTCAACAGAGAGTCACCACTAGTTTACTAGTTTACCTACTTTGGTCTGGCCTTATTTGTAACAAGTTTCTATATTGTCTAACCAGACATCTCACTATCTTTCATTGATTGTGTTCAACGATCTGTCATGAAGAGGATGCTGCGCCACGTGGAGGGCAGGAAAAAACAGGAAATACCTCTTTTTATGAGTATATTAGTGTAGCTGGTAAACAGACACATGCACTTGGGTGTTCTTCATTATAGACACGCCAGGCGTTATCCAAACATCGATTATAAAGCACACAATGAAACGAAACTCTAAGCAAAATAAAATCAATGAAACCATCACTAACAGAAAAAATTATCTCTTACCAGAGATTGGACGTTTCAGAACACATGCCCCCAAAACCGAATAACGGAATATGCTATTTATCACGTGAAGTCGACCTATACGTGTACTAATGGCCAGTCATTAGTTTTCGGTAAATGTACATGTATATACTGGGTATCTGCACGTCCGAGATACTGGGTGACAGCACTGGGTGATCATCTTTCAAACTTTTTCATTCTTAGCCGGAAATGACACTAAAATAGAGCTTAAATCTGGGTCTCAGGCATACCGGTCCGTTTTGCAGCTTTATATAATGGAAAAGAAAGCTCTCAGAGCAGTATTTTCATGTATTTGGTCATCTCAGGGACTATTTACGGAACACACAATAGAGAGAAACAAAAATTGCTCTGCGTCTCAAATTTTGATGGGTGACGAAAATGGGTTGTTGTGCATTAATCTACAAATCGTTCAATTTCGGGATTTAAATACCTGAAATGCACACTGCTTTTTATAAAACAACAATGTGTAAGGAAATTCTGTCATGTGAGCGAGTGTTCACAGATGCTATGACACAATCTTACTTCGTTTGCTTCAGACACGCGTCAGAGAAACCACAGCTAGCGTGTACCTGTAGTTTCGTTTCCCCATTCAGATTCGGCATAGGGACTTAGCGTAAATAGTAGAGATTTCCACTTATGACGTTATAACCCGGTCACATGAATATTAAATGAGACTAATTAAATTAGCTATATCCGGTCCCCACTTTTTGGTGTGCAATTCACGAAAAACGATTTCATGTCGTCACTGTTTAACCACCGATTCAGGAACTCAGCGTGCTTTCCCAACACTATGAAGTTAAGTGTACTCTTCCCTGATAATTTTTTAATGTGTTTAATGCTACATTTTCCAACCTTTATGAATATAAAAAAAATACGATGCATATTCTAAACGGAAAGCGTGCTCACAAGATCGGGGCAATGCTGCCCTTGTCCCATTGTTGTTACCCAATATCAGTATGCAGATGTACATTTATTTCCCTCGCGTAGAAGGGCATTGTATGCAGGTGCCGTTAATTTAACTGAATGTTGCAAGCAATTGCAAGCAAAACGTTAATTGTAGATAATCTCAAGCAATTGTAAAAACGATAAAATGATAAACATTAATTGAGACGTAACAGAGAACTTAATGGCAACTTAAATTGGATGAGTGAATAAATAGATTAATGAATAGACAAATAAATGCATTGAGCAATATTCATGGATAGATAAAAAGAAACTCTGGAAATGTCCTTAACTGACACTTGAATTGAATTTTTTGCTATCATCACAGGAAAAAAAACACTGGTTTTGACAAGAAACGTGATAGCTCAAATTAGCTGAGCTTATTTATCTGTCATCATTAAAAGTGTCGTCGGCGTATCAGAGGCATTAAGTCATTAACTCATTACTGCAGTGCTGATGGCTGTAATATACTTGTCGTAGCGCCTTAATACAGAATTCAATGGGACAATAAATCGACCGAACAAATATTGTGCTTAAAGGTAAAATGTATTTGGCCAAAATCAAACAAAATATTATATATTAGTATCTTTTTTTAAAAAAACCAACGCTATAATTTTAAGCTAATGCGTTTCTTTTGGATGCACTGACAAGGGCTCAATATGTACACGTATATACAATATTTAAATATACTTCAATGATTAATAATTAGATGTTATCATTTACTTTCCTCATGCATCGATAACAGACACTTTTTTGATTTAAAAAGTATTTTATTCTTTCCACAAGGTAAATCACACGCCCATTTCATGTTCATGTATATTGTAATCAGCACAGTTGATTATGCAGCACAGACACAAAGGCAGAACACTATGTCCAGAGAAGCTGAAGGCAGTCCAAGTATGACGGACGGAGTTAGGAAACGGATAACGTTAGTATACGTAAACAACAATTGCTCTTATAACTAAAAATACTGTTCTTATCTGTTTCTATTGAAAATCAGACTAGATTGTTTTAGCGTACGATGAAAAGAGTGTGCATAAAACAAATACCCGTGAAGAAACAGTGAAGTGTATTATGTGAACGTCATCCAAAGAGGTGAGGAGACGGATTCTGAATAATGACATACATGTTTATCTTTTTTTCCTTTCAAAAAAAAAAAAGCACAAATACATGTGTTAAACAGAAAATGTAGCGGAAATATCAAATAAAATCGAGCATTCCGTGAATAATTTTAAAACTTACAACAGAAGTAAAATGACTGCAGTATCACCAAGCAAAATAATAAACACTATAACAAAATTTGGTCAGTAGAATACCAATAAAAAGTTTATATTCATCGAGTGGACTAGTGAAAATACATAAACAGTGACTGGAACAGAATATCAAAATCATTACAGACCTATATATAGGTACAGTAGACCCATATCTAACCTCTTGCAACCAAAGAAAATGACAATAATGTAAGTCCTTTAGAAAAAAAGAGAGAAATACCAACCAATATTGTTAGCACAGCTCTTGAGATGGGTTGTCTTGGAATGTTCTAAGGAAGGACAAAAACGAGGAGAATTTCTCAACAAAGATAATCGTGACTTCAAGCTAAATGTTGCTGCATTAATGGCAGTCTCTTCATGCATTTGGGTGTGGGCATGTTATTTATATATCTTATTAACGCACACAGACATTCTTGGCACTTACAATATATATATTTCATGAACGCAATTTGCGTCCATCCAAGTGCTAAGCGCTCTTTATAAACAAGTAAGCTGCGCGTACAAAGAAGTTCCACGAGTCTCTGGAAACATTCCTAAATGACTTTCGGACACGTTTGTGAATATACATATAATGTGTAGATATCTATATATTAAGACGTGAAAATTACGAGTCAATCTCATCACAGTGTGCTTCTTAAAGGTCTAATGATATCCGACGTGTTTTAAGACAAGACATGGAGGTGTTGACTCTTTACGCTTATTATGGTACAAAAACGAAATTTTGTGTTTTTTGAATGGGCATAATTATTTCGTGTACTTTTCATGTCCGCAATGCCTCTGTTCGTTAAGCATATGAATAATTTTTTGTCCTTGTAAAAAGGGCTATTTTGTGACCATAAGCTGCTGCGGCTGCTGCTGCGTTCTTTGTATCACAGTATAGCAGATCACATTTGCGAGACTGGGGGGTCCCCTATGTCGCATCTTAAGCCTTCTCTCACAGGCCTATTCCGGCGATGTGCTGCAATGAAGATAATTCCAGAAATCTGCTCTCCTTTTTTTATGAAGGAGGTTACTGAGCTCGGTGCTTTGGGGAGTAATATAACCCTCACTCGTGCCTGCATTTCAACACGTCACACATTTCAATCATTTCAGACGCATAGCTTTAATCGCAGCGCCCGGGTATATGGGCGACCGGAGCCTGTCCCCAGGAATGTAACCGCAAACATGTCATGCATTTGAAGAAATGTTGTCTGATTTTGAAGTTCGCGATGGCCGCCGATGACCGACGGCGTTTAATGGCGGTAAGGGGGACATTGGCCGCTGGCTATTCAAACTGGCAGCACGCGGTCGATTTGGATGTGGCTTGGATGCGGTAGATGAGAGAGGAGATTGTGCTTGCTGTTTCTGTTCCTGAATTGCTGCGATGTGTTCCGCTACCGCACCTGGCAGAGCCTCCAACTGTAACTGAGATCAGAGAAGAAATATATAAATGGAATGTGTTTACTTGGAATTGCCTTGTTTCAACACAGTCGTTTCTTTTAAACACCATTCATTTGATTTGGATGTCTTCACAGACTCGTGTTACAATTGTATGATTTTTTATCCGTTAAGGCGTTCATTTGGGATGCGATATAACGTCTACGATGACGGTAACAAGATGCACTGCGTAGGTTTAATGAAATATAATTCTGAATTAAATTCTATTGGTGCTGCTACAACCCTGGACTTTGTTCACGTCGAATTACAACTAATGAAATTATCAAACCGACTTTTTCCTTACCTGAAGAGAGGTTAACTTTTCTTCAATTTCGTCCACTCTAGATTCGACAGTCGCCTGCTTAAGATGCATATCGGTAACCATTTCAAACATGTTGGTCTGCGTCTGAAAAAATGGCATTATTTTAGTGTATGGTAGCAATTCAATTACCCAGTTCTTGCATGAAAAAAGGGTTCCTCAAAAACCAAGAACCCACAACATTGGATTCGTATGGATATACTTAGGGTAAAATTCACACCTGGGTGGATACGACCTTGTTCAGCAAAATATGCTTTCAGACTAATAAAATAAATCACCAGGTTGGTTTTCTAAAGACAGTGTACTAACTGAATAGTTTATGGGCAATGCAGACCGTGAACTTAACTGTATGTGACTTAAAAGCAATAATACCAATTGGAGTAAGGAAAGACGCAGGGAAAAGAGAACTGCAGCGTTAGTGAGGATAAGTAGGGATATTCGCACACTCCATTTGCTAAATAAATGCAGGTATTAGTTGGAGCACAGTCAGCGTTAACCTCATCCTAAGAAAGAAGAACCTACGTTGCCTACGTGCTTTCAAGACGGTTGCTTAATTAGCTGGGTTATTATTTCAAGAACACTAAAGGTATTGGGGAATGCTTGGTGCACATTCATATCTTCAAAATAAACTTCAAATCGGCAGGTGGAGTTAACCAACAATAGATTTGCACACTTGGTATTAGTAAGGTAAAGGGAACACTAACAGCATCGGTTTATATATTGCAAAAAGAAAAAAAGTAAAAACTTCCAGTCAGAATGAATCGATATTGGATGAACCCTGCTAGGTATGCACCAAAGCCACTTAAAAAGCAACCAATAATGAATCCGTTCGGAGGACTAAGAATAAATAGGAATGCTATTTGATATCCAGCAAGCCATCGGGAAGAGTAGCTTGCGGAAACAACTCAGGCAAACAATTTACATTCACACACGCAAGGTAGAACAGAACATGCTACACTTATGGCTATAGTTAAGATGGGAATTAAGTTTGAGATGAAAACTAGGAATTCCATTTCACATGCGCATTAGTCCAGAGCACCTATAACCTAACATCTAACACAGCAGCAACCGGCTAAAAGTATTCAAGTCAAAGAACCCAAATTAAACAGCGCCTTTCCCATCACATTTAATATTCATAATATAATGTAACATACCATCCAACGTGCCAACGTGCCCCATATCCAACCAAACACTAAAATCGTATTAGTAAACTACTACTCTCCCGGACAAATCGCTTCATGGTGCGTCTCATCTTCTTAGCCAATTTCTGTCGTTATGACAACGTCCCTGCACCATCGATATCGGCATTATTAAATGGAGTAGTTTACTCGTTAAAGGGGCGGGGATGGGTTCAAATATAAGGCGGGATCTATGCTCAGGAATAAAATCAACACCATACATTTTAAATAAGGGAGAGTAGTAGAAGTTTGAATGCATGTAAACCACACCTAAACATTCTGAGAGACGGGTATAGACTCAAACCTGTTGATAGACGATATGCGGCACGGAGATATACACGCTGGGACAAGCCTCCAAACCATTCTGAAACATACGCTACAAAAGGCAACAGTCCATTAGTGTGACAAACACGTCGAGGAGACGACAGTGTTAGGAGCATAAGATTAAGAAGTAGTGACTCTGGGTTTGTGTGCGTGTATGATGTCAAGGGATTTGGTGAAGGACTGAAATTGGGGTCGTTCTATTCTCAGGGAAGATACACATATTTTAACAATGCGTGCACAGATGAAAAGTCAACGTGATTGTCTGGTACGATGAAAAGTCCCTTTCATTAAAAGACGTACATGTATAGACGGAGGGTCTCTTTGAGTCGATTTGGAATGCTGTTTTTAAAGATAGTCTCTCTGGCAGCTTGTTTCAATCTCTAACATTTATTTCACTGCATAAATTTGGACGGTCATCAAAAAGCACTTTCCAGGCGGTAGCTACATTATTGGAATCTGTGGCTTTACAGACAGTTTCATCAAATGTTATCTGTTGGCCCCCTACATTTCGCTCAATAGGAATAGCGCAATTTGCCTTGACAAAACAATCAGGAAATGCCAAATCACAGTATTCACACATTTTGCAATAATGGCTCTAAACCTATGTAATGAGTGCTGTTATATTAATCATAGGGCGAAAACAGCGCTAACTTCGCAAGTGTAAATAAGGCATAGACGTAAGAACATTTGTGCTTTAGAAAAGCAATAAAATACCACTGCGTAGATATAACATCCTTGCTATCAGTAATGAAAATATCACAGGTATGATGAATAATTAAGGGCGATTCTCATATTAGATGTAGAATAAGCAAGATAGATGTCACATTGCGTACACAAACGACATTAAAATTCGGCAACAACATAGGAACGCTTAAATGCTTGATGGGAAGAAAGCTTACCTGGTACTCGCCTAAATTGGGGAAGTCTAATGAGGGTATCTTGTTGTGATGAAATATGTTTGTTACAACAGAACATACGCAAGCAGCACACCGCCGACATCAATGCAATTACCTACCTTTGCTAAGTCTACTAGGGTGTTGGCTTGGTCGGTGAGCTTTCTTTGATATACTTTCACTTTTCGCAAACTGAAAACAAAGCATATATAGAAGTAATACAACTGTTATCATATTAAATTTGATATCATATTCAATATCGACACCCATGTTTACAAATATATAATAAACGTCACATTTGACATATTGCAGTCGTCCTTAACACCATCGGTTTCAAAATCCATGAAGCAAACAATACCTTTTTTTCCGCACTAGTACTATTGGCAACGATCAAAGCCATGTGGGAGAAGATCAGGTGCTATTAAGCTGATAATTTGTAGTTAGGCTGCTTAATTAGCCATACCTAAATGCCAGACTTTACAGGACTCAGCAACTATCAAATATACACGTTCTGGTACTGTGGTTTGGGTTTTGACAGATAAACATCAAGGAAGGGAACATTTTGGACTTACTGACAAATCTGCCTGTTTTACAACGAATAATGTGCCACGTAACCTACAGCGCGTGTTACGTGTTTGGTTCATTTCCTAACTGTGAATTGTTCTTAATCATTTATAATAATCTGTTTTCCTTTATAATAATAATAATTATAAATTACTTTTGGGCATGTTTATTAGTACATATTTTGCGTGTATAATGCTGTTGATTTCTGAGCTGTGAACATTCTACTGTGAAATGACTTCAAGTATCGTGTTTTGAACGCGATGAATAATATCTTTTTCTTCCACCAATACATTCTCTTATGTGGCCTGTTTTTGGTTATTTTGGCAACGATACATTTTTTCGCGCGTTATATTGTTTTTATTCTCACCTGTGAATTGCCTGAAGGAATTTTCGTTGGTGTGTCCGTACTTTACTGGTGTTTACCCTTTTCACTAACTTTGTATATTTATAGATTAACCACGTTTCTCTAAGAACGTTTGCTGCCGAATTTTTCATCTGGAATTCAATGTGAAAATATGATAGCATTAATAATGGTACGATAAGATATTTTCAATCCAAGATCAATTCAAATTATAAGCGGTATTGCTCTTTTTGTCACTGTTTCAGTTATCTTACTGCGTTTATGCTAAAAACACGCTGCATACCGTACGCATCCTTAGCATCAAGTCAGATTAACTATAAATGATGCTCTGAATAGCGACATTGCGAGACGGGTGAGCCATTAAATTCCCTTTTTCAACCGCTTACCCTCTTTGTGAGCTGAGAGTCCATCATGAAGTTGTGGACGTGTTTCTCTGCTCTCGTGAGCTCAAGCTTCCTGGCTATGACCGCTACTACGAGAGCAGTGCACCCTGACCCCTGGAAGGAATTGTCAGAAATACACATGATAGAAACCCTTCGTAATCTCATAGCCATTCAGGCATGTGGCTCATTTGGATTGGAATTATTATCAAGCTAAAATCATGTCGAAATAATAGGAATCAAAGCTGAATTAAATAACAGCATATGATGTATTACAAAGATAAAATGTAAGAAATTCGTATACGATCAGTCATTACGATGGATCGCAGTTTGAAAATGATAGTCAAGATAGATGAGACAGACATATAAATTGGGCAATCATGAACACAAATTGACATATGACTAAGACATTAAGAATCTTTTCCAAATTATTCATCCCAGTTAAGCACTTTTAAAGTACCATCACCATTTTAGATGCTACAGAACGTTGCCAATGTGCTATGACGATCTCCAACCACCTGCGACATCGGTTTAAAATGGAAAGACTGTATGAATTATGTTGGCCATGTTATCTTTCAACTAAGTATCAATATTGAAGATTGAGAGAATTTTTAAAGGACTTCGACTGTGAATCATAGTTAAATCAAACAAATCCTAGGACATTCTAAATAGTGGTTAAAGGCGTAAGATTATCATCATTTTAACAAACTCCAACCGTTTTAAAGTATACATTTATGGAGGATTTCACCTATTTTTAGCTTACCATAATCCCTGTAAATACTGCGATGGCCCGTCCACAGTACGTGTTAGGTACGAGATCACCATACCCAATGGAGAGAAATGTGATTGCAATCATCCACATAGAGTTCAAGAGGTTCTTATGTTGGTCGTCATGGTAACTGTAAGTAAAAATTTAAGTCCTTTGCACACTTCTTTATTTGCAAAAATTATTTTACAGCGAGGTGGAATCTGACTGCAAATAAAAGACAGAGTGTTATTAGAAATCCTGCTTTATTAGCCAAGATGTGATACAGCATGTTTTAACACGTCTATAATCAGATGACTGCACCATCAGAGCCTGCTGCCTGTAATACGATAAAATAATTCCTCCTCCCAGTAATACACGCTTAAAGGAAATTAAAAGGCATAGAAACCCGAGGACAGGACATCGTTAAATGTTATCCGTAGGGTCAAACATATGGCTGGGCCGATTTTCCGACAAGAGGAGAAATATCAAAGATAAAACACTGTTTGAAAGACGGGAGCGAACAATAAGTTTGAATAGAACAATTGGATGAACGCGTATACCTAGCCATGTTAATAATAATAAGTCAATTTGTGTTTGGTCCGGTCAGACCAGCGCTTCATTATGGGAGATATGATGTTTGCAAAGATATTGAATGCATATTGGAAAACAGACCGCTGTTAAAAATGGAAAGTGATGTAGACAATGCATGCATAAATCAGAGCCGAAGTGCTTGCGAAGCAGCACTTTGTCGCACAGCTTTCAGCGTTCCTGATGGAAAAATATGTAGAATAAGTGCCTTAAAAAGAAGAAATCAATGGTAACTACTAGTTACCTTTGAAGACAGATTATAACTAGCTGTCAAGTATTTGCAATCTATTTAAAGGTCGCATTTTTGTAATCGTTTCATCTGACGTTAATTAAGGCACAACGATCATCAAAGAGTGGGGTTCAATGTAACTCCGGGGCGATCTATTCTTTGCTACAATATGTGACCGACATAATGACCGCATCTCGTGATGAACGAGTCATGCATGAAAAAATCATAGTAACTCAGAAATTTAGGGGCGGGAGGTTGACAATTTACCTCTTCTTATCAAGAGAGTCGGGTATTTGGAGATTCTCCAGCAATACCAAGGGGCACTCAAAGACTGCAATCATTTCAGTCTTCTGAATTTCATTATATTTTAGCAAATGCTCGTGTATGAATTACATGTAAAAACGTTATGTCATAAGACATGCGTGTTTTGCTAGATAGCAATTATCTGAATCAAAATATGCATTACATTGTACAAACCAAGTGACACGAGTTGCAATAAATTGCAATAAATAAATATATATCATCACTACTGTATTACAATCAGTACATACTGTCGATCGCGAGTTAGTCTACCAAACACTGATTATTTAAGACGAAGAACAGGCTTTAGATGTAATTATATAGGAAGCAGGTGTTGATGGACAGATAAATTGTGAAAATTACAAAAACACAATTACAGGCACGGGGGACGTTATTTCTTCACACCTGATCCTTATTAAGCTAAGATTACACTTTGGCATTCACAATAGTCCAATTTGATGCCATCACGACAGTTAATGTGACAGAGATTAAAACCCCTTCACACACTGCGGGTGAGCGTTAATGAATCTTGGATCCTGGTGCTTAGTTATCTGTTATATACTAAAATAGTCCTGAAACTTGAGCTTTCAAAGCGCGTTATATTTGATACCCCTTTCCTTGTCAAAAGTAAGCAATAATTCGACAAGCACAAATAATACTAAAAAATTCCCCGATATCACCAAGCATCAGTAAATCACATTCAACTTATCGACTTTGGAGGAGGGGCGGGAACGGGGTGCAGAAATAAACACAGTACATGACAGTAATGGGATCATAAGCAGAGGTATAGAAACATTAAGTCCAAGCAAACCATGAGTAACCTCATATTCAAAATAAAATGATTAAATGTTCATATCTAGTCGGTCTCGCAGACAATATGAATCGACATGTTCGCGGTTTATAAAGTTCGTTATAACTTGTCGCAGCTTGTTTGGCGGAATTAAACCAAACGACGTAGGTTTTTAATTGAGACAGTGATATAGATGACAAGGTTTATCTAGCTAATAAATGCTGATGCTATGTGACACTCTTTCTTGTTAGCCGTGACGTCAAAGATATACATTTGGACACGCGGGCGCCATGTCCACACAGCAATCCCTTGAAATGGAGCAGGAACATGATCTTAGGTTATAAGTGTCCTCTCGTGTGTGTCAAGAGAAAAATATAAAACAAACACGAGACAGCTTACATAAAAGTACCGTTTCTAGATGTGAATGAACTGTGCATCTCGTTTTCTTGATCATTCTTTTTAGATGGATTGTCCTCATTATGCCAGCTATCCCGAGGTCCCAAAAGTAAACTGGTTCAAATCTGGTTATGTTTTGAGAAAGAAAACCAAATTTGTATATAAGTTATATAAGATCGATACACTCTCATACAAATACCACATCCAATAAATGGTTATTGACACAATGTTACATTGCTCAAAGAACGGCCGCCTTTAGCATTTCATAATCATATAAGTACACTAGGAGCTTGGTGCCAAGAATTGATGTTATATTTGCAGAGAAAATTAGTTTTTTTCTGATCACAAAAATAGGCTATTGACCGCATAATGATGTAAAAACCTGCAACTTAGGAAGTATCTTTTGCAAGGATGGACCGGTTAGATTGCACATCACGCCGCATTCATCTCAACGTCCCAAAAGAGGTTCTAATATCAATTTCATGCCGCTCCGCTGAATGATCAATCCCCTTGGTGACTGATAAGTTATGTAAACTGATTAATTACAAACCCAATTAATACCCGATATAATGTTAAAATTATGAGATGGAATCTAACAACTATAAATCCCGCAGCGCGTCTCTATGACTTCTTAATCTCGAATGTAAAACCTTCCTTTTTTTCTTCATTTCAATAACCTTATCTGGTTTTCCTACCAACAATCAAGTGGGTCTTAGCAATTCCTCTACCGTCCATGTCATAATTCATACTCAGCTCAATTCGTTTAAGAAGCGTATTAAAGGGCGTCTGGCTAGGCTAAAAAAAGTGTGTTCTATTTTTTGTTAACTATACGCGGCAAAGAAATTCTGTTAATTTCTATAAACAGTGTCGACGACGTTGTTGTTTGCATTGGACCAGTATTTACCAAGATATATTTGCTTTGTGCACATATCTACTAGTGTTTTTAGAGATGCCAGATGTTATGAAAATGCATTAGATATTCTCCACTCTGTTTACCGCGTTGATTAACTACGTGATTAGTTGTTTCTTTCCCTAATGGTATTACAAGGTGAATTGCGTCGCAAGATCACCCATTTTGTAAATGAGAATTACGTACACAGGAAATTTATTATCAAGATTGAGGTGATCAACACCGCAAGGACTCATTTGATATGAAATAGAATTAATTATCTCTTGGTATTTCAAAATCGTTTGATTGGATAGGGGGTCCTAGACCTTTAATTTTGAGTGGACCTATTATAATGAAAAAATGAATAGAAATCACCGAGTTTTACAAAAAGAATACGATGTAAAATCTGTAACATTGAAATAAACGATGACTTCGAGATATATGTATAAGTCGCACCTGCCGTCCAAATAAAAATGCATTCTAGTAAATTAAACATAAACATGTTTGTGCCCCTGATTTTCATGCAAAACAGAATAATGGCCATCCGTTTCTGCATTAAAAAAGTCTAGAATAGTCATACCATGATTTGAAAGCAACCCATGTTACCAATAAGCAGACATACCGGTAAGTCTGGTATTATTTCCTTGATGCTTTATCATGGAAACCCGGACGGTGGCAAGGTGTGCTTTATCTCAAGGCAGGTATGATTTTGGGTGCAATTTCGGTGCCATCACCACGTGCGAGCAGGGAAGAATTTCCTACCGGATATATGTATAGGAACTAAAGGGTCAATAAAAGTGCAATTTTGCACGTAAATGTCAAAGGCACGCAAGGTTACGCATTTCATGGGTAAATATGGCGAGACGACGTTTCTTTGATATCATACTGAGTATATGAAAAGAACTCCAGGAGATGTATGACTTGAGTGATTCCATTTGCAAAACAAATATGTATTCCAAAAGTGGGCCTACGCCATGACAGGCGTTCACAGTCCTTTGACGTATCAAAACAAGGCACACGCCGTAAGGCGAATGTCCGACAAAAAGCCTACTTGTGTCAGCCAATGCTTTCAGTAGAAAATTTGTCCGCACCTTTCAAAAAGATTCAACACTGCAACATGTGTGCCATTTAGCATCCGTTTACTCAACATGCGATGGTATTTGTCATTTTGGGAGTTTCCAATTCACCTCATGAAGTGTAATGTTTGATTTAATGATGGGCTTTTCGAAACCATTTGATGAGTGGATATCAACAGCGTTCCACTCATATACGCCATACCACATTTACTACTTGCGTTTGATTTCTCCAGAGCATTTACTTATATACCAATTTCACCATAAAGCTGCCAAGAGCACCGACACTTAAAGATAGATGTATACAAAATTCATGCAATTGAAATTGGGGTCTTACTTGTAAAGCCTTTGCACTACCACATTTAATACGCCGGGGTGACAGATAGTCTGGCAATAGCAAAAGGTAGACAATTTAAAATACAGGTTAATGTTGTTCCAACTACATTGACAAGATGGCCATAAATCTTCAGTTATTTCTATCAATCATTAGTGTAGTCAAAAAAAAGAGGATATTGGAACTGTTGAATGTCCAAATTAAAAAAAAAGGTTGCAACAAACCGCAAAAGGAGCATATGGCTTTGTTAATGGAAAAGTATGCCTAATTATGTCTAAAATATCATTCTTTATCCTGTAGGCTGTACATAATTGAGGTAAAAGTACAGTATGAAATAGGCCCTTATGTACCTTGCAGTTTATAAATTATATATAAAAATACGAATCGTTTGCTCGTTAACTTGGCACTGCAAAATACACGAAAATACCATTCTTATTTTCGATTAGGCAAAGGTGACAAAAATCCATTTTGGATCCCTGTTCATTGGACAGGAGTGTAAAAGACCGTCAATCATGTGCGAAAATTTCTTTAAGTAATGTACAAAATACAGATGAATCGATTCTTGCAGTGTCTATTGCTGTTCCATTAGGAGTGACTGAGTGGGCGTTATTAAAGCATGTAGCAATGTCAGCGCGAAAGTACATGTGTGAAAAAAAGCTTGAGTTTCATGACACTGACGATGGTCCTCTTCTATTCAGCAATGGAAGCATAAATAAGATGTGAAAAAAAAACAGTTTTCAACTGTCCCTGAAACCCAGGACGTGTTTGAAGGGCTGATAAGTGATTTACCAGTATTAACATGTACATTATACCACCTGCACCGTGTCCTGCGTATTGCGCAAGCAAACTGATAAGGCCGTAAAAGCCGTTTGTCCCAAAAAGCTTTCAACTCAAATCATGGATCAATGTGCAATGCTTTCGGGAAATGGCATGGTTTATGTCATCAAATGCTTGGGTACACATGGAAGGTTACATCTAAAAGGAAATAAATGTGTTTTAAGCCTTAGGTATTAGCAATTGGCATTGAACTAAGGGTGCCATGGACAATGGTATGTTGGATATTAGGCACTTGTATAACTGAACAAAGCATGTATCCTAGTGGTGCTCCACTGAAGTGTAATAACCTTTTAAGACATTGATGCGCAATAATCATGAACATGTATTTGAACCATGAGTATATTGCATCCCCTCTCTCTCTCTCTCTCTCTCTCTCTCTCTCTCTCTCTCTCTCTCTCTCTCTCTGCATTTAGCTTAGCATGCACTTCGTATCTGTTTGCTTCAGGCACAGAACTGTATTTCAAGACATATTTACAAGAATTATGCTCTATGCTGGTATGCTCTGTTTGTCTAAACAAAGCAATCCAAATAAAGGGGACATTTGTTTAATTATACACATATAGCATTACGATACTCATAATGATATTCCTTATATTTTGAGAAATGAACGCTTAAAATGAGCTGAGACCACAAAACACATAGAAAAGTACGTCTTTTTCTAAAATTGAAAATACTCTGAGGGAGGTTGTTGGCGGCAATTCGTTCTCCACAGGGATGAAAACCAATTCTCCTTGGCGGTGTCAGTATATTCATGTTCTTTGATAGATTATTTCCTTGTCCTCTCTTTTTGGTGATTTCTATGTTCTATTATGACTAATGCAGCAAGGGAATATATGATCTACTGTTACTTAAGTCAATACTGAAAAGCATATTTCTCAAGCACCAAGCAGCTGCTTCATAACGTGGCAAAAACAAAGTTCTTTTCCTCGCTGTCAGTTTGGAAATCTAATGACGAAATCAGAGTGTTAGATAACATGAAAGAAAAATAGAGAGAAAAATAGACTGTAAAATTAAAGCTACTTTCGAAATTAGATACCCCCTAAACAACATACCAAACTGACCTAACACTGCACCGTTTACGTAAACGGAAAATGACATAAAGTAGATTGTATGTAGTGTACGTATAGTCTTTATTGCCCATTTGAACCAATGTGTTCTAGGTTAAACACAAGTTGTATGCGTCTGTAAGAGGTCTACCAACTTACGTTTAGGGTGCTAAATATAGCACGAAACATGTAAGGTAACTCGATGCGTAGGTGTGCCATTACCAGTGGTACATGTATATACCAATGCTAGCATATAGACCAAACCGGCTTTAATTGAAAGTCTGTTATCAACAAATGAGTTACATGTTTGTTCTGAGATACTTATGTACTGGGTAAAGTGAGTGGCCATACTGGCACATCGGTTACAAAAAGAGCTAAAGCGAAAGACTGCCTTAATCTGTATTAAATTGTATTCGTAAGCGTGTATACTGTAATAATGTTTAAATAGTCCAGAAATGATGATCACTTAAATATATATATCAAAAGTATTTACATATGAAACCTACATGATCTGGGCAGGTGTGGCAAAAAAAAGAGGTTTGACGTCAATAGAAAATATGATCGGAAGGAAAATAACACTTTGACACAGGTTCAACTGAAGGATAAAGCCAATATGAATAAACATGATGCGTATTTCAAGCCAAATGGCGACTTTTTAATAAACGTGGCGGAAGAATCATATACATTTGAACTCTAGAAAGTTAATGAAGAGACTTGCATGGTCGTAAGTGATCAACACATAAAAATGCGGCGCCGACAAAATTGCAAATAGAAGGATAACATTTGTAAAGCAAATATTTGATTACCAGCCACATGAAAGATGAACACCACTGCCTTAATGAATTTCAGAAGTTCTGCAAAAACTTCCATAGTTTCTAGGATAAAAAATACATACCAAAATCAAAGTTAAGTACAATCACGGGGGTAAAACAGTTGGAATATTAGGAAACATTAGTTAGCGGTGTGGCCATATGAGTTGCTTGCATGTTTTTGGTGCTTCAGTTATTAAGTGGTCTAGTGTGCAATTCGTAAAACAGTTTTGTATCGCTTTTTATTCTTCTATTTTAATATTATACACTAGATATAAAACATGTAGTAGGCCTATTGACACTTTAGGTAGTTTGCTGAATGTTTTTTTTAAATTCTACCATAGAAACACGTTTGTCAGGTTCGTGATTGTATTCTCTCAATACAGATTCGTCTACTTCAAAAGCGTCCTATTTCCCTAACGGGCTCAGTAGCACAAACGTCACATTTAAGATCGTTATAATGTTCCACGAAGGCCTGCAGAAAAGCACACACAGCCACTCCAGCTGTTGCACTGTTTGACATTGCGAGTGTTGATAGGCGTGTTAATTCGTAAAAGCTGTGAAATGAAATATCAGCACCTTATCCACCATTAACGGGCTAGATAGGTGTTTCAGTCCGTGTTTATCATAGCTGGCTAATTAAGTAATACGTCGTCAGCCACAGTAACCGAAATGACCCAATGAAATGTTCCTGCAGGGCGGCCATATGACCGAAGGGATGGGATTTGCTGTGTTGTAGGATTATTCAAGTGCAATCCGTGCAGATATATTAAAATCATCTACTGATAGATGTTATCGTTCACTCTGCTGCCATGTGCAACGACTTTATTACTATTAGAATAATGCCGTTCTACATGCATGATGAATACGCTCACCAGTATAATGTCCATCATACTGGTTGTTTAGTTCATCAAATTTTCATGCCACCTGATTTTCATTATAAATAGTATAGATTTTAAGGTCTGATTAATACTAAGGTTCGCCAAATTAGAAGGCCTACACGCAGAATCGTATATTGTTTTGGCATTAAAGATATATAAAACAGTACTTGAAATGCATCTGTTTTCAAATATAATGACCTTTTTATAAAAGTTTACTATGTATTGCTTAGTATAGTGACAAGCATTAAATACCTGACCCAAAACTCATCTTTTGCGTAACAATCTCTCTGAATGTATCACAGTGTGTCCATATCTTATATACGAAGTTGGCAAATTTATCAAATTTGTTTTGTTTTGTTTTTTTTTTTTTTTTTGCAATACATCTTTACTAAAAATGACAGCAATGGCACAAAATAAAAACGTTGTACAAGAAACGGGATTAGAAATCTTACCTCTCGCATCCTCTCAAAGTCCAACTGGCAATAATCCACAGGGAGAGAGTGAACACCAGTAAGACGGCACCGGGGCATATTGTCATCAGCGCCTTCAGGACAAACCGCGTGTTAAAACTGATCCTGTTCAGGGCACCAATACTTCGAGACGATGCATCCGTGAAGAGTTTACTGTGAAGTAACATTACACGACATATGAGATACAGTCTTATAAACATCGGGAGAGATAACAGTATGTCGATGGGCACCTTTTCGGAGGTGACCGTCACCCCATCATGGTGCACCGTTGTCCATATGAAATCGTACGTCCCTGGGATTGGATGAATGGAGCACACTACAAGCTCCACTATTATCTGACCTATTCTCTGGAGTGACATCGCTATTCTCCAGTCCTCTACGCAATTGTCAATGGCGAATATCTGGAAAATAATGATGACATTCAATAAGATATATTAAAATATTGAAATATCCGTGGCCATTTTGGTCGTGAATGTAGCTCATATCTAAACTATTTGACATGTCTTGTTGAAGAGTGTACATTTTAGAACCATTCAAGTATAAAACGTAAGGCATGTTCCTCATGGTAAATGATTTTTATATGCTGTAAACGAACACCGATATTAAAGAACGGCCGTGTAACATTGAAAATTAGTACGACCTTAATTGACAGCATAGCCATCCATGTAATATTCACTATCAATATAATACATGTCTAATACACAAAGAACCATACGTTTCCGTATATATGTATTTCCAATGCATTGTGACATTATTCACATTATCCAACAAAGTGTACAAAAATCTGATTCTCTGAAAAGGAAAAAGAAAATGTTAAATTTGCGTTTATTCATTATTCATGCTCTAAATATTGACATTGAAGTCTGGTGGACACTGTCAGCCATATTGGAATTGTACGGGCACGAGTCTCGTTCCATCCATTCAAATGATTATAATGGCTGCAATAACAAGGTAACCCGTGTGTGTGTGGTTGCCTGTTATTGGAGTAAAATAAAGCGAGACAGTATTCTACATAAAAGGAAACACCGCTCAGCAAAATGGATTTAGCGAAAGACTTAACGGTGTGGACACATATTCCTGGTTCGATATCGACTGAGCATGGCGGACGTGGGTGGCATCCCTAATGAGGGCGGCTGGGAAAATAAAGACCGATCTATCCGTCAAGGAGAGGAAGTGGGGCATCAACACATTGTCACTTTTTTGGCCATGCGAAATGCCTGCCAAATAGAAATACTTGTTCCTCGTGTCAACAGTGTGATTGATAGCATGCTCAGTACCTATGGCTGATAATTAGTTTTGTTTTTCATCTAAACAGGTCAACCGAGTAGACGTAGTTATCAAGCAAAACAATCAGATAATATAACGTAAACATTAATTGTGACTAAGACAAAGGGATTCACGGGAAGACAATGTTTCAAGAAAAAAAAAAGACCCGTTCTGTTCGGGATTACTTAATGGCCTCGGTTGTTCCATATTTATAACTATGGGTCACAAACGTATACTTATTTTGTTACCAATCATTCTCGCAGAACTCATTTTCAGCTGATCAAGCATAACTGATTGCCAAGACAGAACAATATGCAATGCCTCTTAATGACAGACTCTAGACGCTGCACGTGATTAAACACTCAGGAACGGGGATCAGATATGTAATATCCAAATGAAAATCTAAATCTTAATGTAAAAGTACTTCGAAGCCCTATTTCAATGTATCGATTTGATGCAATCTTAAGGTCACATGAGAGTTTTACATAAAACAACTTGGCTATAGTAGTGTTCTTCTCTCTACAGCATGTAGAGGTCATCCTGGCAAACTACCCCTTCTTGACTGCCCTTTCAACAAGGGAGATAAATTATAGTGAACCCGTGGGCCCCCGTCTGGAGATATATTTATTTCAAAGAACGCTCGATTCTGATTTCATGAGGACTATTAAGACATTCTCATCAAGCTTACTAGTAGATTCATTGACAAACAGACCAACATGAAAAATTGAATTACAGAAAGATTTCTTCACATTCAGCTAATATTCACATATAACAAAAGAAAGATATTCATGAACATGATGGTATTTATTGTTCCAAACATGGGACCAAGCACACACATGTGTCCACACATCCGAACGCCTGAAAGCAATGCACAGTCACGAACTACCCATTGGTCTCACAGTATTTTCAAAAATTCTACTCCCTACTTGTACGATAAAAACATCCTACCCCATCAAAAATAAATGAAATAAATTTGACATAAGCGTAAAAGTATGCCATAATGCATTATGCCATCGGGCCCCTATATTTTTATTTATACAACACAGACCCGAAGCTGACGAGCAATCTAATTTTGACACTATTGAAATTCCTTAGAGTCAGATAAAAGTGGGAAGAGTATTGTCATATGGAACGACGTTAGGAATTCTGCAATAAAGAAAATTAGAGGTAGCGTGCAAAAATGGCTAGATACGAAACGGTTCATTAAAAAAGGCACTTTCCTATCCAACAGCGTAGCCGACAAATAGCGAATAGTGCATTTCAGTGGGATGCCGTCATGGCGATTACGTGTATATGCATTAGGAAGCACTCAGTGTGTCTACTAAATGCTGTCGCTTCAGATCATGAATGAAGACCAAGCATGACGAAATCAGAGAGAAAGGCTGTCAAGTAAATCAAGGTCAGGCTGACATTACAATGCCAAATAAGGAATACGCCTGCCAACTATAATTTCCTTTAGAAAGGTAAACACTGGTCCCTCATTTCAATGTAAACAGTATTTATTGACTGTCTAATTTGAACGATGTATAGGGCCTGTTCCTACTTTGCGCAATGACGCAATATGCACTTGTTTTGATAGACAATAAAGTATCCTTAGAAAGAAAAAGGAGTTTCTTGCAACTATATGCCAAAATTTATGATTTTATTTGAGATCACAAAAAAGTCTATCCTTGTATTGAAGATTTGGCATTCCCTATTTGACATTCCTCATGATAATTGACAAGTTAAGAATGACAGTACGTGTCGCAGCCTATCTCCTAATTTCACTGTGACGACTACCATATGTTATTTGTCATCTTGGCACTGCAATAGATCGTTTAACACGTTTACCGTTAGATGAAAGCAAGATTGTACAACATTAAAGCGGCATCATGTTCAAAATGACATTTCGGATCAATTAACGAACCGGGTTAATAAATACGCTGAAAATGAAAGGGGCTTTTAGTGAAAGTGCGAGGTGTAAACATGATTGTGAGAGCGAAAACCTTACGAACATTCAGGTTTACACCTGAAATCAATCCCGCAGCCGTCAGTTTTAGGGAAAGGTCATTTGAGATTACGTCATAAGAAACACGTTCTCTTTAGCTACGCTACCGGGACACGCAATGCTGGCTCGACGGCTGCCTTTTGATTGGACACATGCTCCTGTCCTGTGCGAAAGACGTTCCAGGGTTTTAAATCTCTCAGCAGGTTTACAACTACAATTTGAATAGCTTTCTGTCCACTTATTGATGTCTCCCGTGGATTTGACTCCGCTGGGAGTCAAGTTTTCCGCGAACCCATTATACATAAAACTCGGTGTTGGTGACGTTATAAGTGGTAGGTTTCAAGGTTTATTCAGCTACGGCATTAATTAGGGTGAAAATGATTTAACTGTCAGGACTAAAAGCCACAATGTTTTAATCATCTAACAGCACACATTGTGTTCTGTCGTTACAATTGGACGCACTGTTAACATTGATTAGTGGCGGCGAACAGAATAAACCAATTAGTAAAAGCGATCTTGTTGATGGGTTAATGGCATAGGATTACGGTATAGTTGGAGAGAATAATTGGTTTCGACCTGATATGTACATGTATATAGACCATCCAACTCTACCAATACTAATGGAGCCGTACCTAAATTTAGTCGACCCAATATATTGGCCCAGAGTGCAATAGCACTCTCAGAACGGAACATTACTTATTCCGAGCACAACCTTGAAGCGTGTGTAACTAGCTTCCTTGTGACAAACCACAATTGTGTATGTGAACGTTCACATTTGCAGTCAAAACCAATATGTCCTTTTGATATACTCAGATTCCATTTAAAAGATGGCCTAGTAAACTAAGACTGCATGTCCAAAAAAATTCGAAGATAAAATGCCAAAAAAAAACCTTCCAAAATGTTTTACAAAGAAATCAATGAGACAAAGCATGAAAATGCAATTAACTCTCGGTTATCAGCTAAGTTCCACAGAACTTAGTACATGTGTACATTAAAAAATTGGCTTCTGGGTCTTCGGTTTGTGCTGCAAATTCAAAAGTGATCTTGGAATCTGAAGGAAGGATCGATATGCGTGCATGTGGTTTAAGTTTTTACCATGATTAGAGAACTCCCTTACGGTATTCAGTTATCGGTAGAGGTTATTTCCTCTCGGTTTTTATGAGGAATACAATAAGAAGGATAGGCGGGTTAAGATTAATCAGTTTTTACCATGAGACGAAAAGGCAAAACCATTTTCAGGCTTCAGAAGAGTACGCGGGATAGTGGGCCATGTGGATCTTGGAACCCAGGTATTTTCTGTCCGATCGCTATCAGCAAGAAGAAATGAATACAAGCCAGGTGGTTTCAAATTGCCCGAGCAAGCTAAATTTATCTAACACAGCGGTGGCTGGTAGCCTAACTGAAGATTTACCTGCAAAACGTTCAATATACGTAGAAAAACATCGGGCTTCAAACATAGATGAACAGAAGAAGCACGCCAGCAGCTACAAATTCTTTGAAAGCACGATGTATGATTGTTTTCATGTTAAACAATTCATGTTATCACTTAAAGTTATTCCGATGATAATTTTTGAGGAACTGGGGCGTAACTTTGCTAACCTTTTTGACGTGAATCCTAACCCAGCGCACATGTCTCTCGTTACAGTGAACGCGCTCACGTTAATACTAGTCCACTTCATTGATCATACTAATAGTATTAAAGTTTCATCCATATCTGCCCAGTGTTTTCTCGTCAGACTGAAAGAATTCAATTCAAAGAGATTTTCCTTACTTAATTGAGCTAAAAATCGAAGTCACTTATTCCATAAACAATCTTGGCAGTGATTTGATTGTAAATTTTGAGATCAATAGTCTCCGTTGAAACGATAGTCGACTCTTCCTTTTGTCTTTGGTTTATCTTTAAATACTTGTTTGTTTTAATACATTGTTTTCTCGATGCATTTCTTATCAAGGGATCTGATCTCAAGCTTTAAACGAGTTATAGTTAATATAGCCGAGTGGGATTTTAACTGCGGCCTCTGAGAGATCATAGAAATGTAATAAACGTCCACTCAAGACTTGAGAAAATTATTGATAGCCAGATAACAAATCACAGATTAGTCATCCGATGTCAATATCTATACCCAACGGGATTTCACCTGTGTTTCAGAAATCAACGGGTTTTAATGAAACAAATCTCAGAATTAACAGAATAATTCTCTGCAACACCGAATCAGCCAAATCATCTGCTATTGGTTATGGTATAAAATGACATCCACCTGCCTAGAACTCTCTCAGTAATGAAATGGATCTGTAAAAAATAGCAGCTGGGTCATGGTCAATTGAGAGGAGAACAAGGTGCTTAACTGACATTTCTTGCCGTTTTACATAGGTGCATATGTGTTTGAATATGCTAATGCAACAATAGCACCTGCATGACGAAACTGCAAATGCATACTCGGCAAATGCGTACCTGTATGTTGATCGAACCAGGAGCATACCACCGCTTTACAGGTCCGCCCCCTTTCCAGTCGTGCAATAAAATACCACTTTTAATTTCAGTGTTGACGTTATGAAAGTACCTTCCTGGTGTTAATACTTGCAGTAAGCACGGTAACGATAGTCTGGGTAAAGGCAGCTCTTATAGATAAATATATATGGGCGAATTGAATACATTTTTTTCATAATTGTCTTTTTTGGTATCTTAATTTTCAATTTTTCGACACTTTTTCCAAGAATAAATTTTCTAGCTTCAATATAAGAGCGCACCTGTTTCCGTTGCTAAAAGCCTTGTATAAGCCGATTCGTGACACAATTAACATAAGAGCGTGGTTACAGTACGTATTCAAACTTGAGAATGCACATACACATATAGTTTTATATTAACTCACCTGCACCTCGACTGCGTGATAAGCTATGATCAGTGACAGCAAGGCTATTGTTGACGCACTGATAACCGATTTCATAACCAAAGAATATGGGCTGCTCTGGAAATATTATATAAGAAAATGAATTGAAACAGTTTGCTTACCATATGGATAAGCTAGTCTACGGCATTTTACTGACGTAGTCGACAAATTGACAGCAAAAAAGAAAAGAAAGAAAAAAAGAGAAACGAAATGAAAGAAAGAAAAACGCTATTACACGAAAATTTGCTATAAATGGCAGATCAATATAGATAAGGCATCAAAAGTTATGTGTGGGCTGGTGAATGGAATAAACAGGCAAGTAAAAAAAAATAAATAACTTGCAGTTACACTGTACATTTCATTAAGACCTCTCAAACTCGCTGCCTTAATAGACACGCGCCTGCTCCATTAAGTACTCGTGTTAAACGCTTATGTAATGACCACCATTAATAATTTTCACATTGTGCTTGAATCGAGCAAGTTTGCGGAAAAGGGTACTTTTCTAATAGCAATATATTGAATGATCAAAGCCAACTTAATAACATTTCTGAAACACTCTTAGCATTATCAAGAACCAGGAGAGTTTATGAACACGCTCGATGTAATTTGCTGGCGAGTACATGGGAAATGAAGCAATGATGTTGTGTATTAAGCCCGTCTATAATGACCTAGCCGTTCAAAATGAAAGGCAACGAGAGACCGAGATCCATCCACGCAAACTAAACTTCCCAATAAATCTAAGAGTGAGACTTGTGTATACATGTTATACAAAAATATGCGTATACAAACACAAACACCGAAAATGTGATGAAGCAATGGGGAGTGATTTTATGGTGCAGTGATGCAAACTGATTAAACCATCAATATCGCTGTGATGCGATCTTGACAGTCAGCTCCTGCCAAACGTATCGATTCACTCTTATGAAAAAAAAAACGAAGCCTGAATAATTTGGGGGGCAAAGGCCTTAAGCCAGTTGAACGACTACCCATTTCTTGAAGGTGAATAACCGTGCAAATAGGTCAAGGTAATGTGGTGAGACTGACTTTGACTGTGATAAAGGTTAGGATCCATGACGTCGATGACTTTGGTCGTTCTTTGCTCACTGCTCTTGAGATGTCTCTGAGAGGCGGTAACGTCATTATACCTCCATCGCGGTATTAAATCAACTGTCGGAATAACAGAAATAAAAGCAGTCGGAACCCATTGATTAGATCGTGTCGAAAAATAGGGCTGCATTTCAGTAATATTCGCATTATGTCGGGAAAGTACTTTTCGTGAATATTGGTTTTTCCTGTTTCGTAGATTACGATACGGGCGTGGGAGTATGTTGTCAACAATCATGGTGCGTGTTTGTGGCGTAGTATGTGAAACAGCTGTATTTTAAACACAGTGTTTGCACAGATCAGCATCAGTATACGAGCGTATACATGCATCTTCATCAGCATCATGTCATTATGCATATTAAATTTGACATTTCATATCATCATTGCCTTCATTATTAGAGCAAGTCCCATCGTTTTGCCACAGATTCTTATAAATCGCGTTGCTCTTTCATCGGACTAGCTCATGTAATTGCTTAGCAGTAGTTCACAGCTTGTTTTAACACCATAAACACTGTAGGCTACTTTTCATTCTATGCATCTATATTAACAGCTAGTATAATAATGACATATGACTATATGGTATACGTTTAATGAACAGAGCGCAATGTTCGCCCATTATGCTATATTAAGGTTATATATGCGCATTCTATACAGCTATGCGTGCAGCTGCCGTTCATCCAGTGTGCAAGAAGCACTTACCTTGTTGTATATACCTGCCCACGGAAATGAGAGCTCAGTCTCCATTATCATCATTACGATACCGAACATCCCTAAAGCTAGGGAATAGTCAGATATTTTCCTGCGTTTTTCAAATAAAGTCTTCCTGGCCCCTAACCTATATCCCACGTGGTTAGTTCTGTCTTTTTCTGCTTTGACATTATTGTTCGCCTTTTCTGGCCTCGGGTATTCAGAACTGCCGCCTACCAGCGCTCCTGCCTCCTCTGCATTGTAACTCATTTTAGTGGCAGAAGGGAGCGACTGAGTGGAGACGGGCTTTTGCAGTTGTTTGAACTGCCGAATCGCTCCATTGACACGCATATAATCTGCTCCAATGTCCGATATAGCCGATTCTCTGTTTTTCGGTCGGGTGTCCCTCGACTCGCCTTTAATTAAGTAGTCCGTCGGCTTGGGAGTCGAGGGCTCATCCTGCGCGTTCTCTGTTGGCGTTCTATCGAGGTTCAGGAGGGAATGTGAACCAGCCAAACCATGCGTGCGCCGACTAGAACTGCTGGATAATAGGTTCAGCTGTTGATAGCGAGGCATCTGGAGTTCAGACATAGCTTTATCTACTACAGAATAATCCTGTTTTGAATCTAAGCTATTAGTGTTGTAATTTTGCAGTTCGATATCGGGGCAGCTGTAACCGTTATTGATACGTCCACCCGTTCCGTTCCCACTACAGCCAGTATGCTCAGTGGTCGCCGCCGCGGAGATGGAACCCATATCTGGCTCATCCTCACGGCTCCAATCCTGCATTCTCTCTGAAGCTAGCTGGCTTTCGTTAACACCTGGCTCGCTCCCCAGTTGCGTGCTGTCGTAGCCTGTGTCATAGATTTGTTGCATTGATGTTGTGACGTTAGCGTCGGAGGATTCATCGTTCGTTTCTGAGATGAGATTTTCAGTGGAATCTATACGCTGTTTTTCATTGGCTGGTTCAACGAGAAATACAGGCATCTTGTATAATCAGTGACACGTATTAGCGCCAATCAGGAGCCGTGTTACAGAGCACTCGAGGCAAATTCAGCATAGCTATTATTCTCCAATGCAATTACTTTGGCGGAACTATTCTGATCAAATATTATACATTGTGAGAAGTTAATTTCCTTAAAACGCACACCATTAATAGCATAGTTTACCGTGGGTATAGCTTCAGGTGCGAGTATTGAATCAGGAATGGCGATATTTTCACAGCCTTCAACATATAAACACACAAATCTATAATCGCTGGATAAAAGTCACTCTTTTAAGGGATGACATCTAAGATAAGCGAATCTCTGTTATAAGATCGAATGTCTATTCACGAGAAAGTGGGTGACAAACATCAATCGAATTCCAATACCAGCATTGCCGCGGAATTACGCACTTCACATTTGTCCACGATTCTCTTCCGTCCCGCCTCGAATTTGCTCAGCGGGACGTTCCCCAGAATCTACCTGAAATCAAAGGAAAAGGATTTTTTATTAATCAATGCTTTAACGGATAGATTGGGCTACAAATAGGCATGGCCAATTAGTCTATAGAACTCTTGTAACATGAGTAAAAGTGCAGTTCTATTTTTATTCCTCCTCTCTTATAGGCCGTTATATTTCAAGTTCTGAAAACAGAATACATTATGTTCCTTACGCATGAATTTTGTGTTCATCTTACAGAAATCTGTCGTTCAGATAAAAAACAGGATATTTAGGCAAAATCTTTGTTGAAAACCTGTGACAGACTTTTAGGAAAACTACGATGTTAACTGCTTAAGGAACTCAAATTTTCAGAGAGTGAGGAAATTCTCTTTCGAAATATTTCATAATTCTTTATTTTGTAATCTACCCATCCGCCAAATTAGACATAAAGCAATCCATTCTCTTTTATTTTGGAACATTTAATAATTATGCCTTCTATTCATTTTTAAATTTAAGATTTGACAACCAATATGAATAATGTACAAGATGACCACAATGTAAGTCACCCTATTTGCTTTTTAAACAATACATGTAACAGTACATATTCAATTTATATCTGTTCATCCATAGACGTATGTATATGTATCAATTTATGTAATTATGTATTCATTATTCATATATCCATTCTTATAATAACGCCTTAAGTGATGCAACATCCTCATCATCGCTTTGTTTTTCGTGGAAAGAAAATCGATAAAAGTGACAAACCTAGTTGGTCAATTCAACCAATCCTGATTACGGATTCAAAAATCCCAAAGGGATTGCGCTCCTTTAGTCGTCTAAATTAAAGATTCTTGGAGAATTAGATAAATATCAGAACTTTATGACTCTTTAAATATTTGATGTTAAAAGCCACTACCAACAAACACATACGATTGCAGAGGAGAACCTGAGGTCTGAATAGTATATGAAAGTACTTTGGTGTATTAAAAGCTTAAACGCTTCAAGAGGAAGACATTTCTGATTTGTGAAAGTCGCTTTGGAGATCAGGAAAATAATCTATCGGTTTACTCTGGGCAAATCTCACTTTAAACAACAGTACATGTAACTAAAACCAAAATAGAAACATAATCATTTTTAAATTGAATTGACAATGCAAGAGGCGACATTTTGGAGGTTTAGCTCTTCCCTTGCACACAGCAGCGTTGAGATTGTAAAACCGTCGCCACTATGAGCAATAGCAAGACTAATAAATCACGATTATCATGTGCTGCCTAATATGTAAACTATAAAGAAGGGCTTTGGGTAATGGATCCCATATGTCAGAAACTCAAATAATGTCGCAAGCCTAACGTACCATGAATGTGCAAATTTCCAAATGCGCTATTTATTAATGGGGAAAGTGAATGAATCTCACCCCAAATTCGCCTGTAAATATCCTGAGCCGTATATATCCTATAAACTAGCTGGCTACCCTGTAAAGCTGACAAATGTCCGTAGATACCACCAGCAAAACGTCTTTCAGTCTTTATCTTGGGGGAATATGGTTGATGTGTGCTTCCATTATCTTTTTTTTTTTTTTTTGGTGGCAACACTCACCCTCACTCACTATTAACTTTGCTCAAAACGAATTAATAATTTGTAATGTGCTATGAGAGCTGCAACTTAAGTAATGTTTTAAAATTATTTCTGCCAATTACGTCGATACTTTGTACACGTTACGTCACATTATCCAATTTTAATCAATTTGCCCTTTTCCTGAAAAAGTCAACATCAATAATTCATCCGCGAGAAGTCCAGCCGCAATAATAAGTTTTCCGTCTTCAAACCATTTTTCGTTCTTGGCGACAACGGGTTTTGAAAATTTACGGTTACGTGTTGACGGGTGCTTCCGTTGTGTACCTGCCTTCGGGTAAGCTTTCATTACGATGAACAGGGAGTTTGCGCAACCATGGGATCGCCACGACCATAGGGGAATAAAACCTTTTAAGCTGTAACATGAGGATTAAGAACACCTATGAAGATGAATGGGTATTATTAGAACTTGCCTCTGCCTCTATGCAACAGGTCACAACTGTGTGAATCTATTGATCTTTCTCGCGCCTTTCGGACATGTAATGCTTCTTTTACATCTCATGTGCAATGAATGCAATCCTTTTCAACAACGATGTTTTTCCAATAACGCTCATACCATCATATAACACAGCAATGCGACTCTATCTGGTTGAATTTCTATTTTAATGGACAGCCCTAATGCATTAAACCATCATAACACTACCGGTATTTGGGCTTTGCTGGCAGTTGACAATGTCTTATACCAAGAGACAAAAATATGGGACATGCAAAATGTACTTCAGATCTAATTTGGTCTACAAAATAAAGCGCAAATGGATGTTTACATATCGCGTAGTTGCTTTTAACCCAGTTTAATCATTACGATATCAAAGTCTTAAAAAGGTATGCATTTGTTCCATTTTGGGATTATCACTTCAACCCGATTATGTCGGACTAAAAACACTTTAAGTATCACCATAACTACACAAAACTATCAGCTGCATAAATAAATGAAATGAGTCGTGTATGTTTAGTCAGTTTCTGTGGATTCAGCTTTTTCAATTGATACAGGAACGTGACGGCAAATGCGACCACAACCGCATACCAGACCACTATACGACATTCAACTTCAGTAATTTGGTTAGAGAGGCAAATATAATGGCATACCTCAAAAGGTAATTTGCATTAAATAAAAGACCTTCAAACTGTGCGTGTATCATGCAGAAAGAAATTAATAAAAAAGGAAGAATAGAAGAACCCGTAAAGGTGTATATATACTACAAAAATTAAGTGAAGATACATTTTACACTATTTTTTTAAATTAGAACATGCACCCCCGCCCCCATTTATACACAATAAACTAGCATACAAGATATGCTATTTAACAGTCACGTGTCTGAAAGCGTGTCTCTATGTACAAAGTACTGCAATTACCGCTGCACGCTTTCAACTTCGTTCTGTGTGATATTATCACATGTATATAAGAAAAAATGTTTTACTTTTGCCTTATTGATACAAAACTGCCAAACGTCTACAAGAATATAAATACTACTGGTCATTAAGTGCTTATTGTCAGTAAAACACAAATCGATCTTAGTTTCCATTGAATCTAGCTATCTCCCTCTCTCTCTCTCTCTTATTAGATTTTTTTTCTATTCAGTGTTATTCCTTAGATTGCCAGCACAATTTCCTGGTAATTCCATCAATCTCAGGAATGAAGTATATTGAAATCTCACTCAGGACTAATGAAGTTTTCGACCGGACGTTACGTCATTCCTCATCACTTTGTATTATCGGGAAATAATTAAACTACCCACCGTTTCTTAGTAAATTTGATGAGCTGTGCATTCATTATTGTCATAATCACTGCGTTAACTAAATACATATCATGCAAACGGTACAGAAATAAGGATACAGTCAGTTTGGACTTCTCTCCTACATGTAGAGATAAGAGCTATGGGACAATTTCAAAGCAAACCTGTGACCTTTTATCACAAAGAGCGATAATTTGTAATGACAAATCTGTTCATTACGCTTCCTGCAATAGGCAATATATTGACAACGCTAAATTATTCAGTTTGATCGGTAGCTGCCGAAGCTATGAATATGCACCAGTCTAGGAAAATAACATTTCTATGAGATGCCGGTGCCAACTGCCAAGGTGAGATAAATCGTTTCACCCTGGAAAACTTGAATAATTGGAATTTGTCGTACTATGTCAGTGATAAGAGGAGCAAAGAAATATGCCAAGATTTGGTTTCCTTACTTCGTTCGATAAACCAACCACACCAATGACCTGTGCGTTTCTGTTATCATTTTAGAGGCATTTGCGAGTGTTTATGTAGATACTACTACCTTGGTAAAACTACCTTGAAACGACTGTAATAGGCTGTCTATATATTTCACGTAACCTTTGTCCATACGCGCAGCACGTGTGTGCACGTACAAAGATGTGTATATATAGCACGCTGTATAAATAAGACAGAATTTTCAACTTACACGTACTGGGCGAAATACTTTTCTTGTCTTTTCTAGATAAGAATCTGAAAACATCCTGTGTATAGGACTGCATGTATTTCTTTACTTTTTGGAGAACTTGTTTAACGACCATTTATTTTATTGTAAAACGTGTTTAGATGTGACTAAGGTTGACCAGGTTGAAGCAGTTGGTATACAGACGTTGGTATTACATGTATCATAATTTAATTTTTTTATCATTTGTTTTTCATGTCTCTGCCTCCTTCTTCGATTGTGGAATTTTGTTTATGAAACTATTTTGGAATAGATTTTTGAATTTCAATAAAAAAGAATTATTTTGATTGGACAAAAACGAGGACTTATCCTGCCAAGGCGATACTATATGACCTTAAAAATACAAAAAAAGGATTTTCACCCGAGATGCGCACTTGTACCTTAAGATTCCAACACAAAATTCCCAGCTTAATTCTGCCAAAAGTACACGTGTCACGAAGAACATGGACTTTATGCGGTGGAGGATAACATAGTTTATTTTCACATTATAAACACATCACGAGTATTTACCAAACTACATGTATGTGAACTGATCGCTCTCCGCTGCTTGAAAGTAGCTAAAATAGCACACGAAGTATAACAAAGTACTTGAGCATATGGAAAAAAGCTATATTTCTGGGTTTATTTACGACAGTACCACTGGCATTGCCATTCGAGACCAAAACGAAGGTACTGTAGGTCATCGTAAGGTAAGGCAACGGCAATTATTTCCACGTAACCTTTCAACTCAATTCGTTAGCCTGCTGCTTCATTTAACTGCATTCCGTTCGAGATTCCACAAAGGCTTGCCCAAGTATTTAGGTAGTACAGGGGTAGGTATGTTGAATAATATGCATAACCTTATCCAGTTGCTACGAGAAATAGTACTGTATCTCAATGGCAAGTCATCCCAGGGAAAATGCAACTTGTAAGTGTCTAAAAATAGCTGATATTTTACTCAT